AGATGAAGGTGTGGAGGGGAATTACGGGTCACTGAGGGGACTGGAGGCCTCCCTGAAGACGTCTTGATCAACTCAGCTGGAGCTCTTGTTGTGCACACGGTGGGAAGCAGTGCTGTGCCCCATGACAGGGGCTCTGGGGACACTCAGAGTGGGCACTCAGAAAAGACAATATTGGCTCAAGTTGTGTCTCTGTGCTCACAAGAAAAACCCAGTGGTCAAAATGCACCGAGGGAAGGTTTGGATTTTGTTTCTTAAGACAACTCCTTGTTGTTGCAACGGTCATAAGGTGTGAAGGAGCAGCGCAAGCAGGACTGGCCACTCACGGTGGCCAGCCTTCTTTCTGTTCCTCCCAGTCTGAGCAAAGGGCCAACTTAGCTGAAGATAAGGATAAAGGGAGAGAGGCTACAAAAGAAGAGTCCAACAACCTGTACAACCTATAACCCTGGGAGAAGAAGCCCAAAAGCTGGAGAGCTCTTAGATCAAGGGTCTACTCTCCTGAAACTGGACTCACCGCAGTCAGCCAAGATTTGGGTACATGCAAATAATTGCTCAGTAGCTGTTAGATTACAGAGAACATCCCAGGAAAGGACACTTTAAAATTTACTACATTCCTTCCCTCCTTCTCTCCCACCCTTCCTCTCTCCCTCCCTCTCTCCATCCATCCATCCATCCATCCTTCTATTTCTTTCTTCCTGTTTTGTTTGTTCTCTGAGACAGTGTCTCATAAAGCCCAGGCTGGCTTCAAACTGTCTATGTAGCCAGTGATGACCTTAAGCTCACAATCTTCCTGCCCTTACTGGCCTCAGGCTAACGGGCTTGACCCCCACACTGGTTCATGCAGTACTGGGGATTAAACCCAGGGCCTGGTAAATATCTGGCACGAGTTCTACCACCAGAGCTACATTGCCACTCCTTCCTTGTCCTAAAGCCTCGGATTCTTCAGGAATAGCCCTCTTTGCTCATCCAAGTTCAACCGCTTTCCCAGTTCATAGCCATTTCTTACCCCTCATCTTTCTTTGCCACCTTGTTGACTGCCTACATCATCTTCCAGGGCAGATGAGCCCAAACTCATTTTCCTTGTTTTTAGAGAATTCTTCCATGCAAGGAATCAATAAGCAATTTGTGAAGCAGGAGGCAGAGGGGGGGTGAGGGGAGTGAATGCGAATGAGGTAGTTTATGTTTTTCCAACTTTTTCCAAATGAGCGTTATCTAGAAAAACAGGTGCACTCCTCCCCCCTCAGCCACCTATCCATTAAAATGGTTTAATTACTGCCTGAACACTAGACAGGCAATTAAAAGGCAGTATTCAAACCAAAAACTTAACGCACCCTCTTCAATCAGAGTAAAACTGTCTGATCGAGTAGCTAATTAAGAATAGAGTGCAGATTCCAGCCAGAAAGGTTGGGACCTCAAGAGCCCCCAGCTTCTCTGTACCCAAGCCTAAGCTCCTCCTTAGTAAGCCTCCATGATGGTCTTGGTGCGACATTGGCTGTAGAGACTCAGCCAGAGCCTGTAGTCTGGAAAAAGGCACAAGGCAACATGCAAACAAGACACGCTGGACAGATGAACAAATGGCTTCAGTAGCAATAGTGCATAGGTGCGCATTTAAGGGTAAACAGAGGTAATGGGAGTTGGCACCCTTGAGGCCAGAGGGGAAGCCTTTTTGTCCAGCACCTCTCACGTTGGGTCAGGGTTCCACAGAGGGTCTTTAGGAAATTATGCTCCCTCTAAGACTATTGGAACAATTTCAATGTCTGGGTCCCCCCAACCCTCACCCCAGAGAGAAGGTGTTTACCCAGGGCTAGGAAACAGTGTGTCTCTTAGGGAACCCTTGAAGATGCATAGAGAGAAACAAAATTTCAGGAGCTGCTGGACGTTAGAAGTGACGGTGGGTGGTTGTTCTTTTTCCCCAGAGTCTGTGTTGAATCAGAAAAGCTTTGAGGTGCTCCTGTCCCAGACTTGCGCTCTAGTGAGGAGGTGAGGGTGGCCAGTCCATGTTGCTCCTGAGAGTTGGCTCTTGACCTGGGGTTTCCAAAGCTGCAGGACAAAAGCCGTCTCTTGTCTCATAGCCAGTCGTCTCCTCCATTGTCACGTGCTCGGCCTTCCCACCTCTTCATTCCGTGGACAATCATCCTTTTCCTGGTTTGCTCATTCCTTCCACTAGCCTCTCCATGGTGACCTCTGGACAACAAACAGGTCAACATTAGTGAATTGGCTGTGTGTTTCTTTCATCAGAGCAGCAGTACTCTGAGGACACTGCTCCCCTCGTAGCTGGCTCTATGGTGGCTGCTCTTCCTTTCACAGGCTGTGGGCCAAGAAGTAGTGTCCATAGCCTCCTCACTACCTGCCGCTACACCCATGCTGCCTTCGCTCCTCATCCTTCAGAAGCCCCAGCACTTTGAGGTGCGTCCCTCTTTCTTTACCACCTTCCTTCTCAGTGCTGCTGGCTGCCCTCACTGACCTTTCAGGCCTCTCTGAAGAGCGCTCACACACTCTCTCCCACCATTCCCACCCTAAGCATCTTCACGCATCCGTATACCACCTTCTCAGAGGCATCTTGGGCATATATGTGGTTTGCTCTCTCCCTCTTCTCTCTCTCTTTGCCTGTGTGTGTGCATGCGTGTTTTATTTTTCCTTTTATTGAAAATGTTTTTTTCTCACATAATATATCCTGATTACTGTTTCCCCTCCCTCTACCTCTCCTAGTTCCTTCCCAACTCTCCTCCCATCTAGATATACCCACTTTATGTCTCTCATTAGAAAAAAAACAGGCTCCTAAAAGATAATAACAACATATAATAAAACAAAATATAAGATAAAGCAAAAACTATCACATCAGAGATGGAAAATAAACAAACAAACAGAAGGAAAATAGCCCAAGAGAAGACACAAGAATTGGAGACCCACTTGTTCAGACACTAAGAAATCCCATAAAAAAATACACTAAATTGGAAGCCATAACACAACTATTCTCTACCTGAGGTCATGACCCCTTTAGAAGCCTGTGAAAGGACCCTTTCACAGGGGTAACCTAGGACCACCAGAAAATACAGATATTTATATATGATTCATAACAATAGCAAAATTACAGTTATGAGGTAACAACAAAAATAATTTTATGGTTGGGGTCACCACAACATGAGGAACTGTATTAAAGGGTTTTTAGCATTAAGAAGACTGAGAACCAGTGCCATAATATACATAGAGAGGACCTGGAGCAGACCCACGTGTGCCCTGTGCATCCTGACTCAGTCCCTGTGAGTTTATACTGTATCAGTCCTGTTGATTCTGAGGGTCTTGTTTTCTTGGTGTTCTCCATCCCCTCTGGCTCTTACACTCCACTTCCACTTCCATGGGGTTCCCTGAGCCCTGAGGAGAGGGATTTGATGAAGACATCCTATTTAGAGATGAGTGTTCCAAGGTCTCTCACTCTCTGCATAATGTCTGGCTGTGGGTCTCTCTATTTGTTCCCATCTGCTGCAGGATGAAGCTTCTCAGATGATGGCTAATCAGGGCCCTGATGATATTTGTCTTTCGGGATCTGGGACACCTTACTCTGGATGATTTTCTTCTAGTGTGCTTTGTTCTTTAATGCAGTTGTACCCTAGCACATTGAATTCTTTACCATTTTGTTACAAGTGACTTCCCCTTTTGTTTTCTGTCATTTTCTGATTATCTATTAAGGCATTCCATTAATTAAAAAACACACAGCAAGCTTGTAACACTGTATGAGCCATGTTTCAGGATAGGAAAGGGGATACTGAGACATATTTGGGAAATATATGTATGAGTATTCAGTAAACTGTTTGCCGGGGAAGCATGAAGACCCTGAGTGGGTTCTAGGGATCCAACTGTAGGTCATGCATGGCAAGCACTTTACCCTCCGAGCCATGTCCTCAGGCCTGCTGAGAGATTTCTTGCCCTACCCTCACATAGCAAAAAGTAGAAGAACAGATAAAAGCCAACTGTCTATCAGAGTTCTTTGTAAGTCGTGTAGTCTGATCGTCAAGAGTGAGTTCTCACAACCTAATCACTTTGTAAAGGTCCTGGTTTTCAACACTAACTCATTGGTAACATCCTGGCTTAGGCGCTTGCATTTCCCACCAGGAATGTGTTCTCTCTACAGGTCTTTGCACATACCTCTCCTTCTCATTTAAGCTTCAACTTAAACTTGCCTCTTTCCATTGCCTTTCTCTTCCCTTTTGCCAAAACAAGACCCCAAATGCCTGTAGCCAAGGGGTCATTAGGCCTATTTCATCTTCCTCCTAGCATGTGCCCACACAGGAAAAGGGTCTGGTTGACATCTTTGCACATCTTGTATGTGCCTCTTCGCTTAAATATAAGCTCTCCGAGGACAAGACTTACTGTCTCAGGCACGACAGGATCTCAAATGCTTTGCACACAGTAGGCTTACAAATGATATCCATTTGCCTTGTTGGCAGATGTGGCTTGTTTTCACTAGCTCCTGCTGCATTTGACCAATATAACTGCAAGAATATTCACTCTGCCAGAGGGATTTGTATTTCAGTAGCACTGGCTGTGTGAAGAGCTAGAGTGGAGTTTCAGATGTCTTTTGGCAGGACCGGAACGACCACAGGATTTCATTTTTGTTGCCTTTTTAGAAGTGCACGGTTCATTCCACACCTGCTAAGCACAGGGTGTCGTGAATAAGTAATACAGGGAGGAAAAATATTTATATTATGATCTAAACGGAGAATTTGAATTGTGTCAAGTCAAGAAGGGGGCAGGATGGAGCAGAAGTAGGTGAAGACATTTCATGTGGATCCCAGCTATTTCGTGACCCTTCTGGTGACTCACGGAGCCTGGGAAACTAGTGGTACTCTGAAATCATGTGGTTCAGAGCTGGACTTGGAATGAAATCAACACAGTGGAACCCCAGCTTCCTCGGTTCCTATGTGTGTAAGTTAATGAGGTGGGGGCGTTCTCCCACAGCCGCTTGCCTTCTCTCCTTAGCTTTTGTTTTCTCCTCTTCCTCCTAGGTCTCATCATCCACGAAGGGCCTTCAGTGTACCGCATCTTCAAACGCTGGCAGGCCGTGAACCAGCAGTGGAAGGTGCTAAACTATGACAAGACGAAAGACTTAGAGGATCAAAAGTCAGGAGGCAGGGCAAACCTACAGACTTCCTCGTCTGCCCAAGCCAACATCCCCTCCATGGAAGAGGAGGCGGCCAGCCCACCTGCCCGTGAGGAGGGCCCCGCCAGGGCTGCCAGCCACCCCTCAGACCCTGTGTCCCAACACCACTGTGCTTACACCATCCTACACATCCTGAGTCACTTGAGACCTCATGAACAGCGGAGTAGCCAGAGCAGCAGCCGAGAGCTCGTCATGAGAGTCACCACGGTGTGAAAGATGGCCTGGGAGGAAGGCTGGGAGCACACGAACACACACCACAGGAAAGAGGCTTGGCCAGGAGGGGCCCAGGGAGCAGGGATGGCAGGCAAAAATCTGGCAGTTTTGGGTGTTGGGCCTTGAGGGAGCCTGGAGCAGAGGGGAGCTATGGGTAGAGCCTGCTGGAGTGCTCTTATGATTTTCCCGTCTGTTGCAAGGGAAAACCAACACAAACTCCACAATAACGGGTGGGAGAGATGGAATCAGGCATGGGCAGAAAATGGTGGCAGGTACCTGGAGTACCTTCTGTACCTGTGGGTGTTAAGGGCAGCAAAGAGAAAGAGCAAGGGCCATCAACCAAGCAAAGAGCTTTTATAATCCACATGTCTCTTGAAGCCTTGGGTTTGTTCCTGCCCGCGTGATGCTTCCTAGAACTGGGTACTCCAGGGAGAGAGTGGAGCCTTGTGAGCTGATACCCCTACCATGCTTGTCGGGGGGCCTCTGCACTTTGTAAAATCTCAGTGACTCAAATGGCTTTACGGATTCCCCCCCCCCCGCCCTCGCCCACCCCAGGAGGAGATGGTTCAGGAAGGGAGTTGTTGGTCTGCCTGGCCAGGGAGATGGGGCTGTGTCCCCCAGAAAGAACTTTCCTAGCTGTAATTCCAAGTGTCCCGTGAGCTCAAAGAAAGCTAAGGTTTAGAGATGGGTATCTTTCTGTTTCCTTCTTTATTTTATGGTGATTTGGCTCAAAGATGTTTACGGGAGGGGGGAGTCGGGGCTCATACACATACATGTTCGTGTAGAGGGAAGCGCAGACTTCTCATGAGAATCTCAAGCACACTTCCGCTGCTGTGGCGTCAGCCTCCAAACTGTCGAGCCAGGGATGAAATTTTTTCCCCCACTACTGAGCCCCACCCACAATCAGGACAATTCGGTGCCATGTCCTTTCGGCCTTGGCCTTCACATAGGGCAAGCACAGAGAGAGATGGGGAGAGAAAGAGAGACCCTGTCACCTTGGTCTGCTACAGTGTGGCCTGTGCATCTCAAGGAAGGAGTAACCATCAATCTAAGTATTTCTTGCTGCTTGGTACCCTCCCTACAGAGGCCCAGATTGCCTTGTGCTCAGCGCTATGTGCCCCTTGGGCACACCAGGGAACCAGGCGCACCAGGCACACCAAGGCACACCAGGGAAGCAGGCAAGAGCCCACCTGTATGTTCTGGGACCCTGGCAGGAAGGAAAGGCCACTGGGTGGTCACCTGAAGAGTTTCTTACTGTCATTGCACAATGGACACGTCATCCTTGGGTATTAAATGGACACTGTCAAGTACTTTTTTAAAACTAGTTTTTAGGGTTTTTTAAAACTGTCTGTTGTTTGTAATATTCTCTTAAAAGCTTGGAAATAAAATCTCTTTCCCTACCATTCGCGTCCCTTTCCTGTGTTTTCTTCCTTTCTCTGTCTCCTCCAGTGAGAGCCACTTTTCTTTCTCTGTTCTGTAAGTTTCCTTAGCAAGAGTTCAAAGTGTCTTCATTTCTTCTTTGAGAGTACAGAGGCTAGGGCAGACAGGTACGCTGGCATCAACAGCATCTATGTGTGTATTGATTCACAGGTACACGTGACAGATGTAGGTACATGGTGTGTGTGTGTGTGTGTGTGTGTGTGTGTGTGTGTGTGTGTGCATGCCTGCATTGAAACAATGAGATTCCTGGACATTTTTAGGGGGTGGGTGGGTGAGGGTTCTTAACAAATGGATTACATCAGGCCAAAGCAGGAAGTACTCTCAAACCTTCCCCAGGATACAGCGCAAGAATCCTACAAGTATCGGTGCTAGAACAATCTCTAGGGAGCTCCACCACACTGGGTCTATTTCAAATAAATTGAGAGAATTGAGAAGGGAGATCTAGGACCAGGTTTCATTGAATACTTTTCTCTGAGGCTCAGAGGGCAGCACCCAAATCAGAGCCCAAATCAAGGGAAGGCTTAGGTAGATCGCAAGTAACAAAGTTCCCTCCTCTCTTACGACTGACCTGTCCCTCCTTCCTTAGGACTGATGGATGGTCAGACAGTATCATCAGTGGGACACGCAACATGCCCTCATTGTCAGTAATTATAGTTAGGTGAGCAGCTACTAGCAGGAGGCAGTACTTTGCAAAGATTACATCCCAGAGAATCTTACAATCCAGAGTCTTAGAGAAGCCTGTGGCACTGAAAAAGATGCAATTTATGAGAAATTCTCATAGAATGCTGGACTTTGTGGTGTCTTGATGAGGCAAGCTCAAGAAAGAAAATCCCTGTTTTGTCTTGTTGATTGCTATATAATCAAGGCCTGCAGCAGGGCCTGGCACATTGCGATGTTCAATAGATTCTTCTGAATGAATAAGACAGTACTGGGGGTACTCCTTCCTTCAGAAGGTGACAGACCTCCTCTTCTTTCAACATATACTCTGCCTGACAGGCCAAACACAAGAGAGAGAACAAAAGTCAGAATTGATTTTGCCCAACAGGTTGGCAAATCCGTTGTGCCTCAGGGAATGGAGCTTATAGGTACCATGAATGGGGCCAAATACCAGCTGACATCTGAAATTCTTACTATATGCAAGGCAGCAAATTAAATGTTTAACATATGTAGATCTCCATTACAACAACTTTGTCAAGTAGATGCCACTGTTATCTTTGTTCTACGGATGTGGGCACTGAGGTAAAAAGAAATAACCTGCCCACAGCCACCATTATGATTTCACCAGGGAGTCTGGCTGAAACCATAGCTACTCCATCTTGCTTCCTCTAGACAGTTAGCAGCACTCCACCAAGCTGATGTACAGAGGCCGCCATGGTAGAAGCCTGTAAGGGAAAAATTGGAGGTTGTGGAAATTGGGACTAAATAAAAACAAACTTTTTCCCCCTAGGGGGAAAAAATGCAAACTTTATTTAAAAATCAATTCCTGATGTTATCTAGATAATATCACTGTTGAATGGGAGCTTGTTTTTATATTAGAGACTTAATTATATCTGGGAACTGGGGGATTTTGAAAGGGCAATAGACATAATTAAAGCACACTTTTATGAGTAAATGGTGAGATTTTATGAGGGTTCTGAAAAAAGAAAAAAAAAAAAGATTACCTACCTAGCCCTGGACCATGGCTTTGGTTCCCAGTGATGGACAGAGTGCCAGGCTGGGGCTCCTCACGTGAGGCAGTCACATCACGATGGAGGGTGCTACTGATATGATATCAGTGCCCAATATCCCCAATTATTATTAGTATAACTATAAAAATAATTCTTGGGGAGAATCAGATCTGTTGCCATCTTGGAGCACAGAACCCCTAATATCATACGAGCTTTTTAATAAAATAGTCAACTACCTCCCAGACCTAAGTTACTGCTATCCCTTTGTTTTGTCCTTAAATACAGATAGGTTGCTGGGGGTAGAAGAACGATTTGCTGCAACAGTAACCAACCCCTCAGGGGACCTATATGCTCTATCAACAGGATTTGTTCTATTGTACAGGAGAGAAGGTATGGGGAAAACATATTTTGCATTTTTCCTCATCACCTCATCTCAAATGATTCTAATTATTAGTATCAAACAGTCAAGAAGTATTTTACCCATGAGGCTCTGACCCAACAGCAGAGATGTAATAGCCCCCACCCTCTCTCTTACTCTCACAGGCAGGATGATGGATCGTGATTTGAAAAGGCTTGTGTGTTGTAAACTGTTGAGGGAGGTCCTCAGATGACCTGGCACTGACCTGGCTCTGAGCCCGGAGTCTGAGCTGCTTTGTCTGGTCCCACCTGATAATGAAGAAGACACTTGTCCCTCTCCCCTGCTTTGTCCCACCTCATGCACACCCCATGCACTCTGAATGCTGCTCACCCTGGAATGAGGAAGCCACCGGTTTCCTCGGTGCCGAACCTTCATGAAGTAGACCACTGGGGACTTCATCCAGATCACTGAGATGCGTTCCCTCCACGCCTCACTATCACGTGACGCTTAGGAAAAAGGAGGAGCTGGGGGTGGGGAGGGCTTATAGCTACAGAAGGAGGATGGCACATCCGGAGCCTGTACCCTTTAAGCTTCATATGAAGAAGTCCTAAACTTGAGTGTCTCCGGTGCCATCGGCTTTGGTCTCAACCTGGTCTCTGTTGTCCCAGCTAGTGAGGACAGGTGGAACCTGGCCCTTGGCATGAAGGCACAGAACACTGCCAGGGGTCTATGATCCTGATGGGGTTCTCTCTACAAAGAAGGGGCAATATGCTTTTTTGCATCTATTAAACAAGAAAGTCATATGCTCAGAATCTGTGTCTAACAACAGTGCCCTTTCTCAATAAAGACATAATAGAAGTAGCTAGCCACACAGTGTTTTCCCTTTGCCATGCTCTACTGCCAACATTTTAAGTAATCTGGTTGCCAGAATTAGCCACAAGAATTGAATATCCTAGTATCTCTAAGATTCTACTATCTCCAATTCCCAGGTGAGGAAAGGGAGGCATAGAGAGGTTAGGCGTGGTACATACAGTCATGCAACTATCCGGCAGAGCTGGAAGTTACCCCTTGGCCATTTGATAGCTTACATTGGGCTAGGAACACTGTATTACACCATCTCTTGGAGAAGCAGAAAGGTATATAGACATCCCAATTTAAGAAGCAATGGAGGAATTAATGATCTCTTCAGCAGCTGGATGCGCTCAGATGCCACTTACGTATGTTTCTTCAGTGGTGGCTCAGATCAGTTCCAAGCTCTGTGTCCCCCATCCCATGGAAAGACATACCTTCCCTGGGAATTTCTATCATCCAAATCCTAAATAATGTCCCAGCCGCTTCCTACTCCAAATCCAGGGACCCTAAGCTCGGGGTTTCTATTATTCACCTTTGTAATAATTCCTTTATTCGGACCTTATGTTAAACCCCGATGTTAGCCACGCTCTTGCCACCGCGATTCTTGTGTCTACCTAAACATCGCCACTTACAGTTACGTTTAACACTTTTGCTGGAAATTGGAAGGCAACCCAGAGCTTATTCATAGGAGAGCCTGTGTTGAGAAACTGCTGCGTGGGAAGTTTTTGTCAAATGAGTAGCTCAGATATAAGTGAGACATAACCACCTTCCAGGAGCCCAGTGCCTCGTTTTTAAACCCCCGTAAGAGGCTCAGAGTTTCTCATCGAAAGCTTTTCTCACAAAAGGGCCCGCCCCACAAGCTCGCTCTCACCTCCTTACTTTGTAAGTAGAGAAGCTAACAGTGCTTATCTCCCCAGGAATTTACATATTTAAGGGGAAATAATACTTAAGCAAGAAGAGCACCTGGGTAAGTGGTAGGGTTCCAGTTATCCAAAATCACGTGAGGATTGTCACCTTCTTCTACCTCAAAGCACTATAGCTATGCATGTACACGCGGCACACAGATACACACAGAGGAGACACAGGCAAGCGACAAATGCATCCTCCTGAACAGTGCACCCAGGCAAGGCCTGTGCCTTAACAGCCTTGCAGTTTTACACAAGACCCCAGGGCACTCAGGCAACAATGGAGAGGACCAGAAAGTCCCTGAGCTCTCTAATGTCACTAAAACTTAATTTGGGGGCATCGTCTCCTTTGTCCCAGGGGTCACTTTTGAGAGACACCCCCCCCCCCCCCGTGTCCTGCAATAAAGGCTGCTGTGGCTTTTCCAAGAAAAGGTAAGGCGAGTCCAGAACTGCCATTGTGGTTCATGTTCACGCCAGGCATGCCGAGCCCCCTCCTGCCTACCGAACCATGGTGACCTCACTGTAAGCCCTAGGCCTTCCCTCAAAAGGCTCAGGACTGAGGTCCTATCTACAAATCGTTTCATGGACATCCGCTATTTTCTGCCTATCCCTTACTCAAAACCTCTTTCCCACAGCAAATCTACACCGTGTGGCTTTGGTAGCATGAATACCTCTAAGCAATCAAGGAGTGGGAATCCTGACCCAAGCTTAGATAACTAAACTATCTCAAATAGACCCATGAATTAACCTGTCTTTGGAGATTTGCTCAGAAACAGGTGGATAACTAAAGCTAACCTAACTCTTCCCCAGGATTGATCTATCAAAGCTAGAGAAAAACACTGTTTCCCTGTACTAGGCTTGCCGGTAAGGAGTCATAAATCCAGGAACATGGAAGTCACCATTTCACGCCACGTGAAAAGTACTTATCTTCAAAATAAAGTCAGAAAGTGGCACACAGAGCAAACAGGAGTGAGACGGTCCTAACTCTCCTGAACCCACACATGAATCCAGTGGCATTAACCATGAATTCCATTTTGCTTACAGTTGTCTGAAGTGGGTTTATGTTACAACTGAAATACCCATTATGAAATCCCACTACAAAGCTTTGGTTTAAACTTATGGGATGTTTGTTCAGAGGTCATCAGAACTGGAAGGAGCTGCCTCTCTCTCCTTTGGTATAAGGGCTCAAGATGGCTTTGCATCTGCATTTACAACTGGGATTATTCTTAATTCTCTTTATGGATCTGCTCAGAGTAAACGATTCTTCAATAGGAAGACAGTATGCAGAATCGCATACATGTGTTTCAAGAGTGTCTGTTTAAAAAAATTTTTTTCAAGCTTGCATTAGGGGAGATAGTGAAACCAAGGTGAAACCAGACAGACCTATGAGAAAGCATAACTGACTTGAAAGCTCAGAGAGGGACAGAAACAAGCTGTGAGTCTACAAGACAGAGTCAGAGTTCAGAATACCAGAAAAATAAGAGGCAAAGCTAAAAGTAAGGCCTTGGTCTGCTCTCCAAAGACATGAGAGTCTCCATTACTCCTGGCCCTGACCATGGCATATCCTCACCCACAAGCCTTGAGTCATTTGGTTTATTCCAAAATACAACCTGTAGGACAATATTCACAGTGCTCACGTGTTTGTGGGAAAACAAAAGCCAAACCTTGCACTTGAATGGTGCATTTGAAAATGCCACAGGCCTCTAGACCATTGGCCCCTTTGTTCTTGTTAAATCAAGCAAACACCACGATGCCCCGGTATGAAAGAGGAACGCCTACAGACACAGCCAGAATTGATTCAGATTCTTCTGCATTTTGATATCTGGTTTACTCACCTTTCAAATAAATATTTGCTATAAGAACTTTGTAAGTCTTACAGACAATACATATAAAGTTGACAGGGAATAATGGCTACCATTATCATTTTATTATATCATTACCACAGCATATAAAAAAAAAAAACAAAAAAAAAAAACCCAAGGTTAAACCACAGCAGACATGGATACCCGGTACTAAAAGCCAACTAACTTTAAGTTTTCATTCAGCCACAAGTTACGTATACCCAACCAGGACAGGTTAAACAGTAAGAACTTGTATAATGATCTGACCAGAGTAGGTACTTGCTGGCATCAGGCTTGTTGCGACTAACAATAGATTTTGCCACTGACAGTCTAAGCTCTTTCTGTCTGCTGAGTAGTCCTTAGCAAGTTGGTCTGTCATCTGTGGCTGTGACCTCCTATCGCCAAGCGATCTAGTAAGGTGCAAAGCAGGAAAGAAGGAGGAGGACCTCGCCCCAGCCACTTCCCCTTCCCCACTTTACATCAGGAAAAGCTGGAGCTTTCTGGGGACCGTGCTTCAATGCCTAGATGTTCTGTCTGTATCATTCTGCCGAGAAATGCGTCACAAGGCCACTGTTAGGACAGCCAAAGATACAGTTTACCCTACTCCACTCCTGCTACAGAACTCATCAAAAGAGAAACAGATGGGCTGGGACGCGGGTAGGCCAGCTGGGGGGCATCTTCTCCACACTATGAGTGTGATAATTTTGAGGGCCACTCCCTAGCATTCTATAAGCTTAATGCACACTTACCCTTCAACCCACGAATGTCATTCCTTTGGGACACTGCTGAGAGACGGTGGCATTTTGCAAACTGTTTGAGAAATAAGGATGGGTGTAGCATCGCTGTAACAATACCACGAATTGTAAAGGGCCTAAACATCTATGCACAAGGAGGTGAGGAAGGACGAGATACTGAGGCCCCGTGACACCATCAGCGTCTGAGAAAAAAAAATGTCACAAGCCCAAAGAGACGGACAGAGAAAGTGCTAAAAATGATGTTAAATGGAATCATGTAACAGATGCACAAGGGCTGTGTATTTGTGGAACAAGAACAAAACACGAACACCACCCCCCCGCCTTAGTTACTTTCTCATTGCTGTGACAAAGCACCACGACCAAGGCAGCGTACAGAAGGGAAGGTTTACTTATGGCATACGGTTCCAGAGGGACAGGAGTCCATCACCGTCTCAGCAGGGAGCGTGGCCGCCTCAGGCAGGCAGGCAGGCGTGGTGCCGGAGCAGCAGCTGAAAGCTCAATTTAGATGCACAAACAGGAAAGCCGAGAACGCACAGGAAACGATTTGTGTCTTCTGGAACTCTGTGACTCACCCACTCCGACAAGGCCACACTTCTTTAACCTCCCCGTGCTGTGTCACAAAACTGGGAACCAAGCGTTTAAGCATTCGAGCCTCCAGGGGACATTCTCATCCAAATCACCAGACCTTTTTATATTTTATTTTATTTTTTTTTAATTTCAACATAGCCTTCTCCAAAAGAATATAAAGAGATAATCAAACTAATGAGGACTATTCACTGCTGAGCCGGTATGAGACTGATGAACATGATAGGAGAACTCGTGCTTGTGTGGTTGGTATTTTTGTTTACATTTTGATAAATAGGGATGAATTTGTGCAGTGTTTGCATGATGTTTTATACTTCCGTGCGTCAGCGTGACAAGAAACCGCCACTGAAAACTGAGTAGGGGCTAGAGAGGTGGCTCAATAGTTAAGAGTACACACGGCCCTCTCAGGGGACCGAAGTTCTATTCCCAGCCCCTATCAGGCGGCCTACAACCAGCTACCTGTAACTCTAGCTT